TTAATAAAACCATGGGCTATTCTTACATGACTGGAGGCTGCATAGTTTTCTTTGAATATCTGTAAGTATTGGAAATTGGTAATATAGATATGGATGTATCTTGTTATTTAATAAAACTTGTTTTTGTATAAATTACTTTAACCTTCAATGAACATTTTATAAACTTGGACATTGTTTTCGAACCGGTACATTGGAGATCGAAGAAGAAGCCATTATTAGTTTCACATTCCAGCACCATACAAATTTTGAGCAAAACAAAAGTCAAACTTTCTTTTTCTTCCTTTTTTCTATCGATATTAGATCTATTAACACTGAATCTTCAAAAGAATAGATTGTAACCTCCAATGACCAAACAATGTCAAATGCAACTCCTATTAATTGGCAAAAAAACAACAATCTTGGCATGACAATACTGCGTAATGGTTTTCAAAATCAAGGCATTTTTTAATTTCTCATATCTATCAAGTACATTAATACACGTACCAGAGAAAGATACACAATGCTGCAGCAAAAAACGTATTTTTTGAAAGAAAAACTCATATTGTTGGGCATTGACGCAGAAATCATTGATATATCTTGTTCCTAAATATTTTTGTGTCAAATATTTTCCAAAATGGATGTTCCCCAGTCGATCTGGCCCAATTTGAAGCTTTGCTAATTTGAAAAACATTCTCTAAATTTTGAGAATACTTCAGATGAAGCCCCTGGATAACTTTCAAAATTTTCTCAAAAATGGCTCAAAATTGTTTATTTCAATTTTTGAAAGAATAGCATAAAATACACTTATAAGATGGAAGAGGTCTGTTTTTCACAGTATTCTCTGAATTTTCGCAAATATCAAGTTTGAAATTTTGGGGTCCATTGCTATTACAAAATTAAAGAGAGCGATTTTTCCTTCAAATGAAATAAGTTTCCCTTAATTAGTTATTTTGTGAATGTCATGCACATTTTTTCACAAATTTTAGTCATTTTCTTACTGTATTGTGTGAAATATGTGCCCAAAAACAAAACAAAAAAAAATAACACAAATATCTCGAAAACTCCAAATTTTTTCTGTAAACATTCTTATGATTTCTCATGAATACTATTCCCATTCACATTTGTGAAGTACATTTTTTGGTTTGAGGAGACAAAAATGCATATTAATTGAAATTTCACGAGAAATATGCAATATTAAGAACAAATAAGCAATAAAATATTAATAATAACTTGAGTGTAATACATATATGATGCATTAACTCAAAATGGACTAAATATGCATATGCAATCCCCTATTTTGTTTGATTGTGTTTTGTGGACATGTGATATTTAGCATTTAAACTCATAATTAAAAGTATGATTTTCGTAAACTTCCATGTATAGTTATTAAGCTTGTGTTTTCACTGCAAAAAATAATTATAAAATCACTAAAACCCTCTCAAATATCAAATTTTCAAAAATTTGCACTTGACCCCCATTACCCTTGCATGCAAGTAATGTGAGTCACTAAAGAAATATGAAGCAAAATGAACACATTAGTACTTCAAACAGTATTTATTTTGTTTACAGTAATTGTAAGAGTGTAAAGTGATATGACTCCCAAGTTTGTCCATGATCAGCAGCACTGGGTCTTGGGCAATTGATCAAGTAAGGCTTTTAAAGTGCCATTCAATGGATTCAGCCATAACGAGCTATTCGATGAATTCTTCATCCATCCAGTCATTCTTAATTCATGTGTAAATAGTAGCAACGGTTTCATTTAAACTCATTCATATCAATAAATTATTTTGTTTGGGGCAATGCAGTCATGCTACGGTAATGATAATCATTGACCAAAATTACACCACAAGCAGAGTTTACTACTCATAAACTTTTATAGAATGTTTAAACTCGCAATTGGTCTCAAATGATTTGATGAATTACTTCCCTTCCAACAAATTTTAATTCTTTCAGAAATCTCCAAGTTCACATGAGTAAGACCTTATTTTCTGAGTGCACTATTTAACATCAACCAATCACTTTCCTGGTAGGAACGCAATAATCGTCGATGTAAGCTTCATTTGGCTGTGGCGAACAACTTTCTATTGTTATGACAAATGGTAGGTATAAGCATATATTTCTGCTTTTCAGTATGGTTTGTTTACAATAGTTATCGAATTTACCGTTGACTCCCATTACCCTGTGACCCCCATTACCCCTATACATTTTTGCAATTGTGAGTGAAAATACTTCAAATGACAAAACTACTTTATTGCTCGTGTTAGTTTTCCTTTGTATATATTTGTGTTCTATTTTTTCACTGTTCTCAGGCAAGCACTCCACAGGGTGCTCAACTACTTAATCACTTGTGGAGAACTCTCACTTTGATGTTTGGTCCTTTGTGGAGTATTTACAGGAACCATTGATCCTTAATGGCGCGTCCACTGCTATGGTCAATAGTCACTTTGGTGTAGAGATAGGCTTATCGTGGGGGTGGCAATATTCCGTAGCGGAGAGAGATCTGGCGCCGATCTGCATGTCGGCTTACGGTAGATTTTCTCCAAGAACCTCCCCCAAACGGAGCATCGCCTCAGACAAGTTGAGCGCTAAGCTCCCGACAAGTACTGCAGTGTAGTAGTGCGTATAAGTATGAGGGTAGAGGATATGATAAGGAAGAGGAAGGAAATATCGCGTGTGGTCCGTAGCTCATTTGTTCAGGTAAAAGCTCCGTCATTCGTCTTGTTTTAATAGAATGAACCACGAAAAACTACCCATCAGAGCAGACGGCCGCTAGAATTCTCCACCAATTAGCGTCTGCATACGACCCAGTTACAGAACTGGTGTCGAATATCCGCCATCGTTGGAAATAGAATCCTAGAACCTCCCGATCACGACCATTGCAGAGTTAGCGGCAATTCAGGCTCTAACCGAACTCAGCTGGTGTACTGTTGATCGTAATAAAGTAATGGCAATGATATAACATCAACAAGAAAATAAACATCTTTGCGAGAAATGGTGGCGTAAGTATTTTAGAAAAATATAGAATCTACGTGTACTATCTACACATTACTTAAACTATTATTTTTTAACTGGGCCTATTTTATTACCCAAAAGGTAAGCTTTATGCTGCTTATGTATCGGAACAGTGTCGAAGGTAGACAATTTTGTGCCCGGGGCAATGCTGTACACCCCTCCCCCCCCCAGAAAAAATTAAAACTGTGAAAATTGTGTCAAGAAATTATATGAGTTTTTGTTTCATTTATATTTTATTTCAATTCGGGATATTCAGTCCTACACTTAATTGAAAATAAATGGCAAATATCTGCATAACATAATATTTGCAAAAATCTGTATTGAAATATCTTGGATGTTAAGAGGATAAAATTTGAATCTTAAAAAGCTTTCAGCATTGTTTTGTAAAATTTTCAAGATTGACGGACATTTTTCGCTTCATAGAGTCCTACCGTACAAGTAATGACTATAATTAACTATTTAAGGTAAAAAAAAATAATTGAAAATTATATGAAATAGCCGACTACTTTACCGAGACGTATAAAATTACGATAACGAT